ACTGAGGCCAAAGCCATGTTTCTACCAGGAGCAAAAATGAAAAAAACAACTAACGGCGAAGAAGTCCTTTCAAAAACTAGCAGCTTGTTAGACAGCGACCTGTTCAATATGGCCGTCAGAAGGTTTACCCCATACAAAGCGCAACTTCCAGCAGGGAAATAGGCTGGATCTGGAGACATCTGGTTGTGAACACACACAGAGGATATGGAAGTAAAGAACTCAGTTTGACGTGTTTCAGGGCGTTACTGATGATGAAAGGGGGCTGGTCTCAGACTGATCACAATTTAGACATTTGTGGTCAATATGGACAAAAAAGCAAGAAGCGTTTTTAGAAGCGAGCAGAGAGATTTAACAAAGACCAGCCAAGGTAAAAAGAAGGGACGGCTTTCTAGACACACTGGAACCATCAAGCAAAGCCAGAAAGCTGGAAGTGAAGAGGACTTTGCAGCAGCCAACAGACGGAGTTACCAGGCAAACCTGGCCTGCTACATTTGGTAGTTATTTAGACGATTATTTAATATCAGGCGACACTGATACAGGGCAGCGCACCCTCTCGCTTTCCACTGATAATCCACAACCCCTGTGAGAAGAGTTTTTATCCCATCTAATACAAGGTCAGTAAAAAGAGAATAAAGGAGGTATTTTACCTGGGGTCATGGCACTCCCTTATGGGTGCTGGATCTTGATTACTAAGTGGAAGGAAGTTGAAGAACTCACGAAGGTTTAGTAAAGCCTCAACGTCGTTCTCAAACGCGTGATGAGCCACACCTGACCACAGCAAACATCATATTCTTTATAGGCTTAAAGCATTACAGAAATATGATTGGATGAGTCTGATGGATGGAGCTAAGGCACTTACCAGAGACCGTGGTGTGAGTTTTGGCCCCACCGAGCTCCTCCTGCGTCACGTCTTCATTCGTCACAGACTTCACCACGTCTGGTCCTGTGATGAACAGGTATGACGTGTCCTATATAGACGTGTAAGAAGAGGGTGGATGAAAGGAAAATGAGCTTCTTAAGCTGAAATAGAGTGGATAAAGAATATCCATCTATCTCCTGGATTAGCACCCAGGCTAACTTGGAGATTACAGTTATATTCATCCTGTCTAATTGAGAGTAAATTAGAGAAAATCAATCTTTCATTTAAATAGAGGCATCCAACATGAGTTTATTTATATTCAACAAAGATATCTTTTGGATAATCAATATCATTCCACTCTGAAAGAAAAAATGTCCTCAAACATCTTACACCAGTCTAATGTATGACCCCAATCATACCTTAACCATGAAGGTGAAATCTGTCAGGGCAGGGGAGTACACGGCTCCTCCTGCACAGGGGCCCATGATGAGGGAGATCTGAGGGACGACTCCTGAAGCCAAAACATTCCTCTGGAAAAAGAGAACAGCTCATATTTTTTAAAATGTCCCTTAACCCCTGAAAGACCAGGGGGTCCACATCCTTCTGAGGAAGAGTTTAAAGCTTCCAAAATAATAAATAGAAGTCAAGAGTAGCGCCAGTGTGGTCCTGTTTCTCTGACTTTGACTGGCTAGGTGTGCTCTCTTCATCCTTTGACATGGGAGCTGGCTCAGAGCTCGTCTGCCTGGCTGTGTGTTTCCTGGACAGGGCCACCTGTGGAGCTGGTTTACAGTTGCCTTTTGAATCTCTGCTTCTGTCTTCTTGAACCCCAGTCAGCCTTGGCAAAGGGTTACTCGCACAGAGTCTTGTTTCTTCCTGTTTAAAAAGAGTTTTTTCTCTCCACTGTCACTACAAGCATGCTTAGTGTGAGGGATTGCCTTTGAGTCAATAAGTCGATCTAATGAATTGGTTTTCCTTAGATAGAAAATCAATTTGACTGTGTGATCTGGTTGAATTGTAAAGTGCCTTGAGATGAAAGATGTTGTATATTGCTGCTAAATAAATAAACTGAATTGAATATGGTCTAAAGGTAATTTGCACATCACACCATTACTCTGAGGTTTAATTTCTGAGTAATGACACTAATAATAAACAATCAAACAAACAAACCAGAAATATATCTGCGTATCCGGCCAAGGACTCTACTCCCTCCTGGATCCGAGCTCCTCCTGAGTCATTTAATCCGATAACAGGAGCCCCAACTGTCATGGCCTGATCCATGATCTGAAAGCAAAATAAAACACTGTTAGTGCCAACAGCCTATAATTGCAAAGCTGGGAAAATAGTGTTTAATGGTGCACAAGGGTGGTTGATTACCTTACAGATCTTCTGAGCATGAGCTCCCGACAGGCTGCCACCAAACACTGTGAAGTCCTAAAAAAAAAAATAAAAAAAAAAATAAAGGAGGCAAATCAGGATAGACCCAACCACACTGGTACTGCTACCCAGATGTTTTCCAGCACAAGTTCTGTCTTCTGTACCTGGCTGAACACATAAACAAGCCTGCCGTTGATCCTGCCTCGGCCAGTCACAACACTGTCACCAGGAAACTAAAAAAAAAAAACATATATATATATTATGCAGTTAAAAACAAGTTTTTTCCTCATTTGCATTGGAGTTTTCTGAAATCTATCCACTACCTTGTTGGCGTCCTGCTCCATGCCGAAGTCAGAGCAGCGGTGCTCCACAAACATGTCCGTCTCCACAAAGGACTCGGGGTCCAGTAGGAGCTCCACTCGTTCCCTGGCCGTCAACTTACCCTGCAGCAAATCAGTACAAGCATTTAACTAAACCTCAAAAAGACATTAGAGGCATGGAGAATATAATCTACAGTTACGCAAGAAGCTGGATTCAATGGAACAGACAAAAAAAAGGGCAGGAAAGGTCATCAAAAATGACTTTGTGGAACCACTACTACCTAACATGTAAATGTTTGGATACCATCTTCCTTCAGTACTAAGTGGCTTATGTCACTGCTGAAGAAAATTCCCACAGCATGATACTGCCACTCCTGTGTATTCATTGGGATTCCTTATGGCTTTAGTTTATTTACTTTCTTAGATTCTTTGTAGCTCCGCCAGTGCTGCAATGAACCTCTAAATCTTTTTTGCGGTTATAATAACTAATAAATGATTCTAATAAGGTATATTGGGCAGGCCTAATTTATCAACATTAAGTTAAATGAAGAAGCCCTCGCTTTCTGTAATCGCCACTATAGACAATCGCTGGCTCTTCTTTAGAGTCTTTGGAATTAAATACTGCAGGCTTTCCATGTATTTACAGTATACAGTCTTTTGTGTTGTTCTATATATATTGTTACTTATAATACTGTAATAACCAGATATGTTTTGTAAGCATATCCATGTCTATATGCATAACTGAAAAGAACTCTTTTGATAATGTGAGGTGAGCTAGGTTTCTTTTTGCTCTTTGTGTGTGTTTGCTAACTTTACCTTTTTATGTTGTGCATCTATTCTCTTCTGACCTCCCCCGATTAGCGCCGCCTTCCGTTTCTGCTCGATCCTCTCCTTCACGGACAGGTGACTGACCGAGTACCAACGACGGTCCGGCAGGAGAGCGGACTTTGGTGCAGACGCTGCTGCTGCGCCATGTTTTATATTTGCAAAATTTCTGAAGGAGACCCTCAAACTGCTAAACAACCCGCCACTGCTACGAGCCACACTGAAGGCCGCCATCATGCCTGTGAGACGTATGTGACGAAGGCGTGACGAGCCGGAAGGATGGGAATTTTAGCCAATGGTGTGGTGAGGGGTGGGTTCGACTAGCCAATCAGAATGCGGTAGGGAATGGGCGGGGTTTTATATGAAAAAGGTGGGACGTTCATGTAGTACGAACCCTTGAACATAAACGTTGTTTATTCAAATATATTTTTGGTTTGTTTGTTTTGTATTATAAGTGCTGGTAACTTATTCTTGATAAGTTTTATGTCAGAATGACCCCAATATAACCTCAGTTAACATCTGTATTTACTAATAAAACCGCTGGAATAAGTCAGACGTAATTGTTATAATTTGTATTTTATTTTATTTATTTTCACGGGGCAGTTCATCATATCAAAAACCTGTCTGTCTCTGTCTATCTAGCGATGAAAAGCAAAGTCTGAGCAGTTTCAGTTACGAAATAAATCCTGTGTTCTAAATCATACCTTGAAGTCAGTTGGGAGAAAATCAGTGCTAACAAGTGCGGGGGAAAAAAAGACTCAGAAAATATCACTTTATCACAAGATTACATAAAAAAATGTGTTAAAAAGGCTGCATTTATCATAGGATGAATGGTTTCAAAATCAGCAGTATTCATTTTCCAGTCTGAGTACTGATAATGATTGTAAATATCTCATCCTCGATGCACTTAAAACGGTTTGTTATTAAAAAAAAAACTACTTTGGATAATATTTGTTGCAGGATACATTACTTGTTTCCACAATTCTGGTTATAAGGACAATAAATAATATTTCAACTCATTTTCTGATATTTAAATTGAGAAAAATGCAAGCAGTAACTGGAATATTTTTTTATTTTTTATTCTCATATCTAAATTCTCGTTGATACGCATAAAATGGATGCAACTTTAGGTTTCAACGCCACTCTGCCAGTCAAAAGCAACATTTGTGAGATTCTGCTGTCTGAAAAATAGGTTTAAGAGGAAGCTATATTGAATAATTTTACATTATATAATATATAAACAAACAGAAAGAATAGTTACTTAATATTGCGTAAAGCAATTAATATTCAATAATTAATTAATATTCAATGCCAAAAGAATACTTTTCCTGAGCTGTAAACTAAAAAAAAATCCACAAATACAGACTTTTGTCTCATAATTTTTACTTTCAAAACTGAGTTTCTAATTTTTCTTATCCTTAATATTTTAACAATTTTATTTGTTATAATTTCTCTCAACCTTACCAAATACAAAAGAGATTATTGTTATAATTTTGACAATAAAAATATCAGGGAAGAAAAAAAAAAGAAAAAAAAAAACAGAAAGCAAAGAGGAGGATAGGGAAACAAGAAAACGTGACCGTAACCAGGGTAACTACGGCAAGTCTCGCGTGATATGCGTGCCTGTCCAGAGAGGGGCTGGTGTGAGGGAAAAGTGGTTAATCGTACGATTGATGCACTTATTAAAATACAGCAAATTAGCCATGGTTAGGTCGCCGCTTTTCACGCATTTATGCAAAGCGTACATCAACTGCAGGGCTTCGGGTTGCAGCTCGCATATTACTTTACTGCGTGACGTATAAAACGTTCCTAGTGTGCAAGTGATACGGTTAAATCTCCGCTAGCTATGCTAATGCTAACTCCTTAGCTTTGTTTACATATATTGCGCGCCTGGTGGATAATATCCGATCACACAAATTGGAAATTTTTTGCTTTAGTTCGTTATCTGTCAACTCATTCATAAGGAAATGGCATTGCGCATTAAATAGATATCATGATCATTGCCGAGTATCAGCTATTAAAGCGTTTTGCTGAATATTAAGCTAACGTTAGCAATAACATGCTAACCTTTTTTATCTCCGCTCGTTCGATCATGCGGTTTGATGCTAGCCGATAAGTTTCCTTAGACGTGCTTCTTGTAATGACTTGGGGTCTTATTCCTCTTACTTTATATCCATAAATTATGAACTTAAGGAATTTATTGATTAAAAAGAAACTATCATTAAACAAACTGGTGATGCTAGCTGAAGCTAGCCACCTGCTGAGCTAGCCAACATTGTTCGCTTTCAGTGAGACGTCTACAGAATGCTCATCATTTCACATTGTGTCCACAATTGATTGATATCCTAGTCTGCGTTGAGGTGGTACAGTGGCTGCTAGCTGCAACATTAGCCCTTTATTTTTATTTTTTTAATCCAAGTGGGCTGGCTGTGGATACTGTGCTTCGGACGGCGTTTCCCCCAGGTGCTGGGTAGCGCATCATTATGAATCCGGTGGACGCAACCGCGCTGTATGTGTCTGCCACCCGGGCAGTGCTGCAGTGTGACCCGCTAAATCCTCACACCTTCACAGAGATGTACAAGCAGTTACCCTTCTTCCGTCAGTCTCTGGCATGTGTTGTCTGTGGTAAGCATCCTTAATATTTATGCTAGACATTAGTCTTCCCATATATAGATTTAAAGCACTTTGTAGTCACACATTTGGGGATTTTAATCATAATACTATGGGTAACATTGCCTTTTATTCTCGTGGGTCTGTGTGAAGATGCTGCAGTTCCCACTATTTCCCACTACTGCGGTTTCCCTAGCAACCAAGGCTGAGAGAAGCTCATCTGTCCTATAGATAAGACGGATGACTGCTGTTTTGCTCGTTGCATAGCCATGTGGTTTTGGTGAGGCAGACTGTGTGTGGTAACAAGTAGCAAAGCAAAAAATAACACATCTTAACAGGTTCTTGCAAATCTTATGAATTTATGGGGGATATAAATTAGATTTCTTTCTTTTGATAGATTCTAATCAGCGATCTGAATCCCTAAATCCATTATTTACACCAAAACTATGTTGTGGTTTGTAAAGGCATGACACGGAAAGTGCTTTGTGAATATTTGTTCTTTAATGTATAATAATTATGAATAGGAATTATAGATAAATCAATGGTGGTACCAGCCAGGAAGATTTGCACCTTTTGCATATCTGGATTTAGTAGTATTTTATCAGATATGTTGGACTTAAGCGAAAAAAAAAAAAAAAACTCGAAGCGAAAGTTAACAAGCTAAAGGTTGGATATAGTGATCTACTGATTTATTATTTTTTAAAAGCCCTGTCCTGTTGATACCAATCTTAGCCTCCCCTGACTTCCTTTTAAAATCCTACATTAAGAACAAGATACTACATGATTTCTACAGCACAAATATATGATTATTTTGTTTTATGAAGACAGCCTTTATAATAAAATAAACAATTGACTATCAGAGAGAGATTCCTACTAAAACTTTTCACGGTTTAATAACTATTATACGTCTCAACAGAACAGCTAACATAGGTTCTTTCTACACACAGTTGAACATTTTGAAGTAGGGCTGCAGTGAAAGATTATTTTGGAAATCGATTAATGTGTCAATTATTTTTCAATTAATCAATCCGATTATAGAATCGGATAGCAAAAGGTTCCTTATACAGACTTTTTACAAAATTACACCAGGTGAAACCAAAACTTTTCCACTTGGGGAGTTCTGGATAGAGCAAATTGGCACACACAAAATATATTTTTTTTACAATTTTGGTATAATGGCTGCTCAAGGTGGGTCACTCTGTCAGCTAGATTCATGTTTTAAAGTCTCTACACTCCAGTTAAGGATTAATTGATTACTAAATTAGTTGACAATTATTTCAAGAATCGAATCATTCAATAAGTTGTTTCAGCCCCAGTTTGAAACAAACGTTTGTTTTTATTTTTTTATTAGCAATATTTGATTTTAGATTACTAGATTTTTTTTTTTAAAGCAGCTCTTTTTGGGTTTTTTTTTAGCACGAGTGAGATGTGACTATACATTCAGCACCTTAAGCAGTCTGTCCATCACATTTGATCATTAATTATTTATTAGCACAGCTCTCAAACTACTAGAGAATTGCTGTTTCTGAACTGAACTATCAGTATCTACAACAAGGACACAATTATCTGTCATTTTAAAGAGTTTTTTGCCTCTTGTTACTTTTTCTACACATTTAGTGAGGTGAAGACATTGGGCATTAGTAAATGGTAAAATCACACACTTTGTTTACAATTGTTACTGGACATTTAACTGACATTACAGAGGATTTCAAACGCGTCATAGCTGGATGTAGGATAGAGATGAGATGAGACAAGGCGGCTTTCCCGTTTCATTCCTTTGTTGATATCTGCATGCATGTACTGTTAACAATCTAAATACGTGTAAACAATAATTATTGTTGTTGTTTTGGATTCAGGTAAACTCCTTGAGGATCCCATTTCCCCAACACACCCAGAGTGTCAGCATTACGTCTGCTTGGGCTGCAAAGGCCAGAAGATGCAGATGAGGTCATCGTGCAGCCGCTGCAAAGACTATTCCTGCTTTCAGGAGAACAAGCAGCTGTCTTTACTGGTGCAGTGCTACAGGCAGCTCTGCCTCTATGTAACCCATTCACCACTTCTTCAGTCAATCAGCAGCCACGTGGGAGGCTCCCCAGAGGTCATGGCCTTGTTGGAGGAGGTGCTTATGTCCCACAAAGAGGAGACGGAGCATCAGGAATCAGCAGAAGAGGATGTAGGTCAGTCTGCACCTGAGTCTCTAACACCCACAGAGGCACCGCCTGCTCCTGCAGAACTCTCAGCCATTCCTCAGAGCTCCTCCTCGGAGCCTCTCTGCTTCAATGGACCGCTGGATTGCAATGGAGAAGCACTGGAGGATCCGTCTTCTCCTGAGCTGGAAGTATGTGAGGTGGTAGAAGAGCAGCAGCATCTGGGTCTGTCTGTGTCTGAAACCACTGGGAACGGCTTCGAACTGGGTCTGAGCACTGCACCTTTAACCCCAACAATAGGCACTGTGTGCTCACTCAGGGAAGGGGAACCTAATACCAGGGAGGTGGAGGAGGGGGAAGTGTTGCTTCTCAGCGTGGAAGAGGTGTTACAAACGCTGGATCCCCTTCAGCCTGATCGAGACACTCTTCACGTGAACCCAGATAGAACGCACATAGCCACAGACAAAACGCACACTCATATGTACATACAGCTGGACGCAGCCCACAACTACACACAGATTCACACGGGCAGGACTCACATGGCAGCACACCGCGCCGGTCACACGCACTCCTCTGCCTTCGAGCCTCCTCCTGCCTCCAAACCGCCACAAGCCAGGCCCACCCGGAAGCGGTCCCGTTCGGAGAGCGACAGGGAAAAGGTGAACCCTGTTCCCATCACCTCCATCCTTCAAGATTCATCTCCTCAATTACTCACTCCGAGCCCTTCGCACATGCTGCATACAAAGCTTCCCATGGCTTCCCTCACTGTACCTGCGCACACATACTCATCTGTTCCCAACGGCGCGTTCCCCAAGCACAGCCGCCCCACGCAGAATCACAACAAAGGTGCCAGAAAACACGTAGACCCCAACTCTAAGAAGGCTCACACCAAGGCCCGCAGCACCGGAGGCTCCAAGACGAAAGACCGGAGCAAAGATCAGCGGCCGATGCCAGGCTGTGTGCTGCCAACGCCACCCGTCAGACCTGCCTACAAGAAGCCAGTGGAGAAGAAGGGCTGCAAATGTGGCAGAGCTACCCAGAATCCATCAGTTTTAACCTGCAGGGGGCAGCGCTGTCCATGTTATTCGAACCGGAAGGTAAGATCACTTTTTAGAATGGAGATGTTTTATCTTTAAACCTTTGGGGTTTGTGTTTATGGAGCCTCTAACACTGCACATCTGTCCAGTGGTGGGCTACTGTCACAGGGTTATGTGCAAATATTCCTTCGATGAAATATCAGCAACAATAATCCATTATGGGAAAAAAATTCTGATCTTTCATGAACACATAAGAATATCCTTAAAAGTTTGTTTTTTTTCTGGGTCAATTTCTACTGGCAGAGCTTTCAATGGTCCTGTCTGATCTAAACGACACGAGAGACACCAGACACAATGATGCTGACAAGACAGATATTAAAGCAGCCTATGTAAACACTCTAGGAGTGTCCCAAGCTGATAGGTTCACCCTCAACACGAATTATGCAGCATTTCAACACGAGATTAGAGGCTGTATGCTACATGAATGACGTTTTCCACAGCTGACTTCTGTGTTTAAATCCTTTTATATTGCTGGGATTTTCTATTAATGCAATATTGTTTTTAATTAAATATAAGCCATAATCATGAACATGACATAAATCTTTAAATATATCACTCTCTGGAATGGAGCTGTATATTATATGTTTTTGTTACTGAATAATTTGATATTTGTATTGAAAGGGTTTCCAGTTGATCTTAATTAGGTTTTAACGAAGCTGGTGTCCGCCCTGAGTGGTAAATTGATGTGGAACATTCTGCAGCTACTGTGCAGCACTTCTACAGTCTGGGTTCACTAATTTCTGCCGTGTTTTCCAGGCGTGCTTGGACTGTATCTGCCGAGGCTGCCAGAACTCCTACATGGCCAACGGCGAGAAGAAGCTGGAGGCGTTCGCCGTGCCAGAGAAGGCTTTGGAGCAGACACGCCTCACCCTCGGGATCAACCTGACCAGTATCACGGCGGCCGCGGCGCTCCGCAACCCGGCGACCACCAGCATCCGCACTAACACCCTCCTCAACGTCGCCACAGCGACAGGGACCCCAGTGACCACAGCTTTTCTGTCCGCCACCCCCCCGCAGGATCCTAACTTTGACGACAGCCTGGAGCTGCTGATTGGCTAAAAGGCAGGAAATCCCCCCAAAAAACAACAGATTGGTGCTGATTGAATGTGATGGCTGATCATTGACCTGTTACCCCTCACTCCTCTTCCTCCAAGGGGACTCGGCTCATGGCAGCTATGTGTCTATCCTGTTCTATAACCTGCTGTTTCTCTGTACTGGAAAACGCTGACTAGTGAGATTAGCATGGGTGTGCCAAAGCCTCCGGTATCGTGCCTGTGCACTGGTGTGTATCGTTGTCAGTCTGTAGGTATAATCTGTTCCAAGGATGTTCTGTACTTCACAGGTGCTTTTTGTTTTGCTCATAGACCACAGAGTTACTGTAAGAGGCAATAGAAACCCATTCCAAGTTTTGTTTGTTTGCACACAAGTATGTGCAAGTAAAAAAAATATTAATGAGCATCATTTCATCACAATTTCATTTCATCACATTTCTACCATTCTGTTATCCCTATATTTATAAAAGGCATTATTTTATCATCAGAACCCAGACTTATCATGGTCACAGTTTGATCATAAAATCAGACTAAGCTACGGATCATCCACTCTGCCTAAATCCTGTCAGCTGTTTGGAAAACCACGTTAACAGCCTACATTTTGCTTCCCCTGAGATCAGTCTGATGAGGTAGTTTGTGAGAACTTGAGAAACACCTGTTTTGGTCATCATGGCAATAAGAGAAGGAACGGAGAGACTCACTGCTCTTAACCTTATTTTTTTCTTTCCCAGTTACTGAAAAATAACCACACCCCTGTCATGTCTATGTAGGTAAAATGAAGCCATAGTTAATCAGCAACACCCCTTCATCCTCACACACACCTTGTGTCCTGATTAATCAGAGATTATACCAAATTATTTTTGATACTGTCAGAGGTTTGGTATCCATGTTTAGTTTTTCAGTTCTATCACAAACATTTCAAGAGGCTGTGCATTATCAGTGTTTGTGTTTACTGTCTCAGCTCTGACTACATGCCCGTCAGTCCAGCATTGGTGACCAAAAAGAAAAAACAATTGACCGAAGAGAAAAACTCACCTTTTTTCTCCTCGTGGACCAGGAGAGTGGCAGGCGGACTCCAGTATGATCAGCAAACATGTCCTATCTTCCCGTGTGCGCTCATTTCAAAGGATGTATTCGTTTCGGGCATTACTTGAACCTCTAATTTTGTGGGTTTTTTTTGTTTATATATATTTTCTTTTGCAATGTAAAATAAAAATATCTTGTTTGAGGAGGAACAATTATTGCTTAAATATTCACTGCCATATTATGGTGACATGTAACACAACATGAATAAAAAGATAGTTTTTTACTTTTTCAGCTTTGTGTGTTTTACTGTGTGTAAAGAGGTGATCTAGGTAGTTTTATGTTTGGGTGAGTGTTACTGTGCAGAGCGGAGGTCTTCAACAGGGAGTCCATGGGGGTCGTGAAAGTTTTGGATGGCTAGACTTCTTAATAGTCCCCCTGCAGTTTTTCCACTAACTGAAATTTCTTTAAATACACATTAACAAATTCAAAACACTGCAGTAAACAGATAAATGAAGGCAGAGGATGTATTTCAGTCATCAACGCACACTTTCAGGGAAACACAGGAGCTCTTTCAAGCTGGGAACCGTTTCATTCACAACACCTTTCCCATCAATGAGGAATCAGAATCAGAAATACTTTAATAATCCCAGGGAGAAATTACTTTTGTTACATTACTCCATCTTTAATAGAGTGACTAAAGGACCAGTTTGATATAACACAATTTCGTAAAATATATATCATTAGGGGGTCCCTGCTCCATCTTGCCATCAGTTTGGGGGTCCTTGGCTTGGAAAGCATTGACCCCTGGTGTAGGGGGTCAGATTAATCGATTGAAATAATACTCAGCTAATTTAGTAATTGATTAATCGTTAACTGGCGTATAGAGGCTGTAAAACATACCTTCAGCTGACAGGGTGACTTAGAGCAGTAATTATACCAAAATTGTGGAAAAAAAAAAAATAAACATTTTGCATTTAAGGTAAAAGTTTCTGTCACTATGCTCTATCCAGAACTCAAGTGGGAAAAAAATTGTTTCACCTTTGATTTTGTAAAAAGTCTTTAGGGAACCTTTTGCTATCCGATTATTAATAGAGTTTCAACCTGCATTCGCTCATCACGGCTATAGAACTCAGTAATTCTGGGCTTTTATGGATTCATTTCACTTTTTTTACCGATTAACTCGATAAAACAACATAAAAACTCGATTTTTAAAGATAGCAACTCATTAATTTTTTATTAGCTTTACTCCAAAGTGTAAGCTTCTAGTAGCTGCTTCAAGCATTAGTGTCCTAAAGCTCATATTATGTCAAACTAATATCAAGCTGTCCAACAATGGCTTCCAGTGTCATCCCATTAGAATGCTTAAAAAATGTTGTGAAACTAGATTTTCATGGCCTCATATAAATAAATATATATATACCAATGATCTTTTAACTTGTAAATAAATCAACCCAAGAACTACAAATCCATTGTGTCCAGTGTAATGGGAAGATGACAGAAGACCAGTTCTGATGCAAAGAAAGAAAGGACACTTTCAAGCTTAACTGAAAATTGCAACTCCAGATACCTTATCTACCCTTACCAGATATCTTACCTACGGTAAGATCCCAACCGTCAACCGTGGTGGTGGCAGGTTTTTTTGGGAAAAGGGAGGATGGATTGGACCCAAGAGTCAGCTTAGTATCAATAAAACACCAATTTAAATTATAAAAAAAAAAAAAATGTAATATCCAGCTTGAATTGGGAATGGCACAGAAACACGTTTATCTGCAGCTGGCAAAGGGACATTTAACACCCTATAGGTTCTGGTGCAGGGACATATTGGGGTCCGTATTTATTGATCTAATGACAAAAAGTTCCAACTATTAGTATAATCAGTCCATCCTAAAAATGACCTGTTTAATGCACCAAAAGCCGGTAGTGGATATGTGAATATATTATTAGAATTAGTAAAAGAACTGAAAAAAAGGTTTGTATTGTGGCTCAATTGGTCCGCAAATCATATCAGGAATGTGATGCTTGAGAAAATGGAACAAATAGATTATACTGAGCTCAAAATGAATTATAGATTTACTTTACACCCTGAGAAAAAAGCACTTAAGCTCAGATAAATCCATCCCTTATCAGTTAACAGGAAACCATTCCATATATGAAAACAGTTTTTTGAGTCCATAAAAAGAAGTTGTGCAATTGCACAGTAAAGTCTATTTGGTCAGTTGCTCAATAGAAACCAATTCCAATGGTTGAAACCCAATTTTAGTGCTTCTCAGACATAATCCACATGTTCTGGTTTTCAGCCATTGCTGCACATGAACTGTGTTCATAGGTTCCTGCCGGAATGAACGTGCTGCATGAAACAGCTCATCTCTGCTACTTTTTAAAGAGGCGGTGTGTCCTGTTCTCTTCAGCAGCTTAGATCCCTGCAGCTCTTCAGAAGAAGTTTCCTTTAACATTCTTCATTTTTGCCAGTCCTGTGTCTTCACATAGCGACTGCTACGGTTTCTGTAGAGAGCTTCTGTTACTCTTTTAGTCCACCAGAAAAGCTCCAAAGTAGCTCGCCCTCCCGTCCATCTCCATGGCGCTGGCGTTGCTCACAGTGACAAAAAGGCGGTCAGCTGGTTGCAGAAAGGCTGAACCGGCTTGATGGAGAGAGAAGAGGCCCTGCTCCTGGCCCCGGGGCCAGCACACACTCCGTGAAGATTTCATCAACAGGATGGGTCCTGTGTAGGAACTCATCTGCAGTTAAGATCAAACAATAGTTAAAAACCCTCTCTGACATTTCCACCTCTCATTTTCTAATGATGCAAAAAGCTTGAACCTTTTTATAAATGTACTGGACAAGTTCTGCTCCCTCATCCTCCGTTTCTTCTCCTTCCGTCTCTCCAGCTGAAGGAAGTCTGAAGTAGGTCTGGGCATAAATATAGTACAGGCCTGCTCTTGGTACCAGCAGCTCCCCTCCTTTAAGCTCCATGTTCTGCAGGAAGGACAGACCTCTCTGGCCCTCCCACGCTCTGATGCGTTCACCGGAGTACCCCCTGCTCCTCCGTGGGCCTGCAACAGCACCAACCATAGCATTTCAGAAGCTCTTCCCTGTCATCAAAGATTATTTGAGAATGCAAATTTAAGTGTAAACAGTCCTTATGGAAGTAAAGTACAAAGAAAAGCAAGACTTGCTCATGCAGTTTACAATTTTACAATTTATGCCTAAAGAACAGAGTGTACCTTTAGAAATATTGTAAATTTGAACTACAAGAGGCACACAGATGTCATCAATTATACAGTGCAGTAGCAGCCATTCAAAATGGCCGTTCTCAGTCAAACACCAGCCGAATGGCAGCCCACTTCCCTGCAGCTCCCAGCCAAATCCCCTCCAACTTCCTGCCACTGGCCTTCTCCTGGGCCAACATATTGTTTTACTCTGACTCCACCCTTTCACTGAATTACAGGGTCTTCCAGGAGATAACACTTCTCTTTAGATCTTAATGTCCACAAATCAGACAGATAGAATACTTTAGGTAAAAGATTGACGTTTCAAAAGGAATTATAGGGGACCAGCCAAGGGCCCATAAAGGAAAGTGGGGAAATATTGAATGGCTACTGCTGTATCTCACAGCAGAGAGTACACCCCTCATATTTTCTTAAATACTGTATTATATCCGTTTCTGGGAAAATGTAGCCAGAGTACCACTTTTCTAACATTTTCAAAACATATTATTTTCTGTCCCCTAAAAATAACTTAAGTACTTTAAAATAAGGAAGCATGAATGTTGCACAACAACGTCTTGAACCCGTTATGTATTTTAGCAAATGCAATGTGACAAAAATAAAGAAGTGAAGGGGTATTCTACTGTCATGTGACTCACTACAATTTGGATCCTAATTGTCAGGTTGGTTTTACATTGTTCCATAAGAACAAAGACTATCAGTATGCACTGTCAACTTTCCTGGTTAAGTGGTAGAGTACAGGTTGGCTTGCAATTCGACAATTTTGTTTTAGAAACATTGTCTCTTCTTTTTTAGCTGTTGTCTTATATAACCAGATTTTCAGATGTGAACAGGTTTATTTCTTTATGACAAGGTCAGCTAATGGTGGTCAGATGATCCAAAGTCAAATGCCTTAAAGAGAACAGTTATTTATCGTGCCATCAGTTATTGGAATAACTGCCCACTGAATATCCGTGAACTGAATAGTAAAGTATCTTTTAGTTATTACTTGAGAATGCACTATTTACATTTCAGAGTTGTGAATTAACATATATATTGTATAAAACTGAGAAATAATGTAATGGATTTGAATGTAAAACTTATTGGAATGATTTCTGATTACTTAATTTTTAAGTGATTTCATAATTAAGGAATTTTTGTTTTGTCTTGTGGACATCAAGAAGAATAGCTCATCCCACTTTTGGTGACACCTAATGTAGATCTTTTTTAAAAATAAACAAAAATTGAGTCACCACAAAAAAACACCCTTAATATTAAAACCAACAGTATTGTGCAAAGACTGAGAGCTAACCAAAGGGGATTTTTTTCTTTCTTTTTTTTTTTTAAAGAGGAAAACACAACAGGAGGAACGAAAAATTCAGCCTTTAAAACAAAAGATCATACATTAGAGATGTTCCTTAAGTAATAAAATCAGGTACAAACTGGCATTTTGCAGTTGTTGTAAAAAGAAGGAAAAAAATTGTCAAAAATGACACCCAGCTGTATAAGACTACTTTCAACAGTAGCGGATAAAGCAGTGAAATGCTGCCTGATTACTGGATTTTTTTATTTTTATTTTTTTAGAACAAAGGCAAATGATAATAATCCTCATTTTGTTTGAATCTAACAGCAGGTAATTTCCCATATTTGATATTTGACAGACAGTTACTGGCTTCAGAAACTATGCATAGCTTGGATGCTCAAAATGAGCAGTACAATTAAAAATCAGCATCATACACATTTTTAGCGAGCCAGAGGGTATAAATACAACAATTAAATATGGAAGTTTAACCTGAATCAAATCTGAAGAAACCTGATTTATTACAAATTTTCCATGTGCAATAAGAAGGTTAACTGGGACAGTGTCTTTCTTAAAGCAGAGCCCTGCTATTTTCATGGTTGTTGAATGGAGGCTGCACATCTGCAGGTCCTGACAGACCCAGGTATGAGGAGGTAACCGAGTCTGAGCAGAGTGGATGCCTTGAAGCTAAATCCTCACCTTTTGCCTCGTAAAGAGGAGGGCTTATATGTGGGTGAGGATTGTCAATACCTCTGCTGAGGAAGAATCCTTTTTTACAGTCCTTCAGTTGGACTTTTAATGACTCCATTTGAGCATAAATGATTTTGCCTCCAGCTGCAATAAACTAATCCTTACTCTCTGCTGCTGCTGGAGACTTTGGAAGTGAAGCAACACCGGTCACATGTGCAGCAACTTTCGGAAGAGGCACCCCACGGACCCCGGGGCCCAAAATAGGAAGCACCCCCGTCAACTTATCTGCAAAAAAAACACACAGTCAGAAAAAAATAGACAATAGTCTCCACAGGGCATTTTTACTGGGGAAAAGTCACACAAAAGCCTGTTATAAGTCAATGGGGGAATTGTTCTTACTTCTGGATATCTCCCTTTGGAATCTGTCTGCAATCTTCTGCATGGAAACAGATGGAGGCAGAGGAAAAAGTAAATGAATTGGTCTACACGTTATCTATTATCCCAAAGACAATGGCGTTTTTAACTAACTAAATAATTTTCATAATCTATAAAATCCCCAGAGCCACTAAAACCCCTCAGTCATTCAAATAGCTGTCAGATTATGCTCCAGATATGGAGCTGATTTTAAGCTTTTCTTCAAAGTTAGGTCCTTAAAATTCAAGATCACTGAAATAGATGTTCCCAATGATGGCCATTCAGTGCTTTAAAGAAGCTAAATTAGGGGAAAAGGCTGAATTAAATGGCTATTAATATCAGGAATGTTGGCAAGAAGTTTGAAACAAAACCTTCTCGATGTGGTGGTGGAGCTGCTGCTTGACCTTCCAACAGGGGTCGCTGCTTTTTCTGCCCTTGGCTCCTGAATCCTGGAAGTCTGAATTGGTCAGACAGCTCAGCGAAAAACTCTCCTGCATCTTGAAATTTAAAATAACTCAGTTACTGTTAATAAAGCGGCAGGATGGGGTATCTTCAGCCACATAGTAGATGCAGACAGTGAAGTTAATATATTTACTCATTACTGTAAATGTAAAGCCTTTTGTGTGATCTATTCTGTTCCCTTAGCTTGTTAGGTTTAATACATCTTGTACTGCTTTAGTTTTAGTCATGTACATCTTCAGGTTATTACATAACAAGTCAACACAAAGTACTTGACAATAGCAAAGCAGAGAGTAAATAAGTATTTTTTCACTTTCTTTTTAAATATCTGAAAAGTGTGGCATGCAGCTTCTGTTTAAACTTAATAAACTTAAAAGTTAAACCCTGTGCATAAGAATTATTGTATAGGTCACCTAAATAATAAATATAGTCAACTGATATTTCAATATCTCAGAAATTAAAATATGAAATGGAGCACCATTCAGTGCATCTGACAATTAAAGGTATGGCCTAAAGCAGCCAAGTTCAACCATATCTTTAGAGGAGCTGCAGAGATGTATAAACAGGAGGCGGTGGATACATATGCAAATAACCCACCCTTGGTATTTTATAGGTAAAATAATAAAAAAAATAATTACCTAAAAGTAAAAAAAAAAAAAAACTAAACAAAAATTGCTACTGTCTGTGCACATTGCAAAAAAAATAAAATAAACATGCATGCTGTTTATACACTATTTCCAGTCTTTCACTTTTGTAGTAACCAAACCAAGAAACATGCCACAAGCTGCAGTTTCTATTTGCCACCAGCCAAACAGTTTCAACCCGCATAAACAAAACACGTAGTTGACTTTTAATTGGTCCCAGGTGTGATCGATAAAACACAGGCATATATTTCTAGACTCAGCCAATCAGAGCCCAGAACATGATTTACATGATTTTTTTTTTTAATCAGAGGCGTTTCACCACTTGTCACAAACGCCTCACTGACCTTCGATACGTGTTGCTCTTGTGCGCCACAACCTATTCAGTCTGAACAAGTCTCATTTCCTCCTATTGTTTTATATTATCTACTCGCCATACAGTCTTTTTTTTTTTTTTTTGCTTTTGTCCGGTGTTACGCAGAAATTCCCACATGATTGTGAGGGACCTAAACATGTCGTCACGCTTCTTATGTTTAATAAAGTCATTATGGTGCGTTTATTTAAATAGGAAAAAAAAACATTCTACGTCATATGTGGATGTAAAGGAAATGTTTTCGATAGGTTTGATGAAGTTACATGTCTGTGCCTTTATAGACGGGTTTATTTATTTCACAGGTAGTCATTTTAATGCAGCAATTAAACGCTGCAAACCTGATGCATTAAGTCGAACAAAACGCATGTCTTACCGTGTTCAGGACTTTGTTGAAGTACAGAAAGCTTATGGCCACCGCGACGGTCTGCAAGAGGATAGCTGCGAGGATAACGAGGCCAAGGCATTGAAGGGAGACAGAGATGGCCATATCACGCAGAGTGGAGATAAGTTTGGAGAAGTCAGAAATCACTCCCAGTCACAGCAGAGCAAGTTTGGTCAAACACCTCTGCCTTTCTGCAGGGAAGCAACAGGGTGGGGGGCGGACACAGTATGGAGGTGGAGCAGAAAGGAGGTTTGCAGGGATTCAGCTTCCTCAAGTTGTCAGTGTTATTAAAAAGATCCAAGTTTGGAGCATTTTCACTGCTGCTGTCTTTTTATGCAGCAGATCAAATTTAATCTCTATATGTGTAAGAGATATTTTAGAAGATTTTCAGCTCCAATGGGAAACATTCTACTTCAGTTTCAGCAGTGCAGCATGTTTTCCAGCTTGTTTACTGTCATTAAACTGTCACAAGTATAGAATAACGAAATTCCTTCTCTGCATTAACCCATCCCCATGGGGAGCAGTGGGCTGCCATTGTGCAGCACACAGGGAGCAGTGTGGGCTTAAAGGTCTTGCTCAGGGACACAGAGTGTCAGCCTGTGGGAGTGGGGATGAACTCAGAACCACTGGATTCCAAGCACAATGCCCTAACCACTAGGCTACAACTCTCCTAAAGTTATCCAAATACTTTCTTTTTAGCATCATAGCCCAAGGAGAGCGCCTTCAAGTGCAGTGTCTTGTGGATCTTCTGACTATCACACAACGCAGAGGTTCACCAGTCAAAAAAAGTTTCAAATGTCTCATCAGTGCTCTTCTTCTACTTCATCTGTGTTGGGTGGCATTCGGGGGATCAGAATCTGGCCATGAAGAAACCCCTTTCTCAACAAGTTATCACTGACTGTGTAAGCATCTCAGTTGTCCAGGTTGTCTTCCATTTACAAGTATGAATAATTGGGCTTTTTTTATAGTCATCCTCAGCTACCATTATCAAATTCCTTGTGAATCCTAGTGTTGAACACTTTTCCCCTTTCATTTAACTTTCATTTTGTGTGCCAATAATAATATAGGCACTCTAGCAATGGAGTCAATTCAGCCACTCATCTGGATTGATCTATATTATATTGACTCTAATTAAAGAAAATGTATCTGTTGTGGCCATTTATGCTGTATCTTTGTAATTAGTAATGTGTAACAATTTAGTTTTCTTCTTTGGGTACTTAGAATATATTTAAGTTAATTTAGCAATTTTATTTTTATAATTTTATATATTTGGAATTGTTTAAATTATGTTGTTAATTGTTAGACCCTCCCATTAATTTGAGTAATTAAGAACACACCGGTTGCCTGGTGAATTGCTTGGTAAATGTCTGGTGGGTACGGGAGGTTTTGTAAAATGTAATCATTTTACAAAACCTTGGGAGGTTTGACCCCACACATTGTCTATCTGCAGGATAACTATCAAGCCAGTAAACTTTCCCATGACTACTTAGGACAAAGCATCTAACATGTTCTGTGTTACTTCAACAGCACTATGCAAAATAGATTTTTTTTCTTTATTTAATAATCCATTGTCCATTTTAAAGCATCTTTTGCAAACTGTGCAACTACAGGATAGACGTGGGTGTGTAGTTATAGAGTAGCATGTGGAATAAAAATGAAAATACTCTCCTTTCTACTCCCATCCAGCTATTGTGTGGTGATTAAATGGGTTGGAGCCAAAGGCCTTGTGATTGTTATGGCTGTGGAGCAGCCCTGGCACATGGGAACCATTTACTCTGCAGAGCTTAACCTGGAGTGATTCCTTACTTTTTAGTCCTTCACCTCTGACCCCTACTCCATTGTTGGAGTGAGGATGTGGGAGTCGAGCTCAGGGAATACAAAGCTCTTGGACATGCACACTCCACCTAACAATTAAAACGTATGCATGTGAAACACAGCTGCTTACGTGCAGTTGTTATAAAAACCGAGAAAGAACAAGGTAGCTCAGACAGGTTTGGAACAGATTTACTATTCTGCTTCACATTGAAAAATTTAATGAACACAGAGGGGCTTGTCTGTTTTACTTATCAGGAGCTCAGAAAGTGGAAGAGGGGATATATACCTGTTGAGTTCCAGGAAATGAAGCGGTTCTCAGGCTTGTTAGCGCAGAGGAATGAAGGAGGTAAGTGATACTTGAAGGCTTTCTGGCCTCAGGCAAGAAGGAGGACACAATCAGAGACATGTCTGTCTTCTGTCCCAAAGGCAACAGGCCTTATAAAGATTAATTTTATTTATTTGTTCAAAATAGGTGTCATTGCTCTCTGTGAGACCCAGTCAGTCAATAATATTGACCTTAATTTAATGCAAACAGACTTTTAACAGGGCTAATTTGTTTCGTAACTTAAAGAGAGAAGAACTGAACTCCTACTTGAGAAATAAACTCAGGTGAGAAAGCAAAAGTAGTTTGGCTCTCTTGCCTAGAGGATTTATAAGCAAGACAGGTTGATCAAGGAGCTCTGAAGTCAGACTTCCTCCATTCCCTTTTATATAGTTTAAATACGACACATCGGCGCAGGCAAGTATATTCATGTTCCAAATCGTATCAGTCATTGGATACCCTCACTATTTTTGGTAGAAATGATATAGCTACTTAGTAAATAATGTAAAAGTGAGTGTATTAGAGTCATAGAATACCAAAAAAACAGTCAATTGTGATGCTGATTCTATGAAGCTGAGTCATAATAGTATCAATGTTGAGTTTAGTTAATTCTGTGAACAAATTGGCCCTTATTCCCACACCCACACACACCTCTCTCACACACACACACCCACACACACATGTTGTGTCACAATATCCTTGTTGGGACCTTCCATTGACATTGTAATGTTTATACTTTATATTTATCTTATCACTGTTACCTGTCATGTCCCGCACTTTATGTCAGTCTGTAAATGTCAGTCTTGTATATTTCTTGTATATTTGTATATTTCTAGAGAGTAAACGTAATTTCATTTCCCTTGTATGTCTTGTACATATAATAAAAGTGACAATAAAAGCTGACTTGACTTGACTTATTAAAAGGGTCAGTTTGGATTTTTTTTAGGATATTTCTGCAAAGATCTTTTTTGTTTGTAGATTGGCATCACTATTATTGTGCTGGCTACGAAATGGCACAGTTGATGTCTGATAATACAGTGTTCCATCCCAGTAATAAGAACATTTTTACTTATGAGCTTCTTTCAGGTGCTGAAGTCAACTAAAAGATGCTGTGAAGATCTAACTTGCTGTTAGCCATTAAATTCTTCTTTTAAATATTGTACTTTGTATTGTATTTCTTCCCTGTATTTCAGTATGGCATTGAATGATTTTAGCATGATTCAAGTTGCATGTTTTTACCATGGTAAAGGTTACTATAAATCAAGGGTCTCCAAAGTATATCTCGGGGGGCCATTTGGGGCCCTCTGGTTGGTTTTGTGAGACCATAATATAAAGCTGGCATAAATATCAAATTGTTCACCTATTTAGTGCCTACATAAAATGATGCAGGCCAATTTAGTTGTTCTAAGGATGAAATGCAAAACTACAGTAGCCAACAGTTGCAAACATACAAAACTATTAAGCTGTCTTTCATCAACCATTTATTTTGCTTGCTTGCTTATTTACTATTTATTTATTTATTTTTGGACCACAAGCTACCACATTGAATGCTACTCAAAAGCAGAGTTCAACAGATGTTTAGTAAACTTAATTAAATAAAATAAGAGTTTTTTTGTAAGAAAGAGGATTAATCGGGATCACAAGACATATATATATATATATATATATATATATATGTGTGTGTGTGTGTGTGTGTGTGTGTGTGTGTGTGTGTGTGTGTGTGTTAGTGTAATGTAATAAATTATGTAGCAGCATGAATTAAAATGTCAATCATTCTCAAGCAGCCTTTAGTAGGGTTTAGAACTTTTTTTTAAAGTCTTTGGTCTTTATTAGTTTGGTCTTTATTGGTCTGAAACGTCTGCCAGAGGCAGCTGCTCAAAGAGACATATCTGTTCTTGTTGCTGAGAATACACATATATTGAACAAAGGAGGGCGTGCCGGGCCCATTTACAGAGGGTTTGGTCCTCACCGCTGATGTCCTGGCATAGTGACCTTTGCTGCACATTTCTTCCCCCTCTCTCCAATCCCATTTCCTGTCTGTCTACTATTAAAAATAAAGGCCACTGGTGCCTAAAATAATAATAAAAAAAGAATCTTCATTTATAATGATTTTTTTATTTAAATAAAGGAAAAAAGAGAACTTCTGCAGTGACGAGACCCTTGTCTTTATTAAGTATTTTATATTCTTTTTTATTATTGAGCAGGTCTGGTGAATGAAAATGGTGAATTAAATTGAACTAGAAAAATGTGTATCTCTATGGGATGCAACTACTTCACATTTGACAGTTTTGGCCCCTGTGACTACACATTTAAATAAAAACCTAAAATGATCCATACCTGGTGAATTGGGAGACAGATCCGGATTCAGTTTTCCATTTTATTTTGAAGGGAATGATACAAAGCAGAAGGAAAGGATCTCAAAAAGGGCTGAAACTATTAATTTAATTAATTGCGATTAATCAATTATTGAAATAATCGACAACTAATTTAGTAACTGATTAAATGTAAAATGGAGTATAGACATTCTAAACTATACCTATTGCTGACTTTTGTGTTTAAGGTTACAAAATAAAAAACAAAACGTCGGCTGTCAATATGCTCTTCCAGATCTCAAGTGGAAAAGTTTGAATTTCATCTGGTTTAATTCCGTAAAAAGCCATCTATATATATATATATATATATATATATATATATATATATATATATATATATATATATATATATATATATATATATATACTATATACTAATCGATTTGCAAAATTATCATTAGTTGCAGCCCTAATCTCAGAGAAGGAGCAGTAGAAGACTGTGGAACATAACTGGAGGAGAACCTGCAGGATGTGTGAAAATAAAAGAGGAAGCCTGATTTATCTCCACCATTAGCAGTGGTTTGGAGCTGCACAACAGCTGTGTGGGCTTGAAGAGGCTTGGATGTTCCCTCTGATCCTTAGAAGCAAACAGAGATGGACTCCTCAAAATTAGTTTTTATATACCGGTACTATTTTATTTCTGGGTTCTCCGTTGTTTTCTTTTTTAATACGTTTTAACCCCT